ATATATACATATACATACACATATATACATATACATACACATATATATATATATATATATACACACATACATACACACACACACTTTATGGATATATATTTATATTTATTTTGTACATAGTCGTTAAATGTGTGCGCTTACATCTGTTCTACTTTATTTGCTTCTTGTTGTCCTTGTTTCTTATATATATATACATATATATATATATATATATATATATCTATATCTATCTCTCTATCGATATCTAGATAGATATCTAGATAGATAGATATATATATCTTTTTTTTCCTGTTTATTTGTAAATTCTGTGTATGTACGTGGAGATCAACGAAAAACCAGAATAAAATTCCTTGTACGCATACATGGCCAATAAATCTGATTCTGACACACATCTGGCGCTACCCTTTGCCCACACTATGTAGCTATATTCTCATCTTTATGAAAATAAATCTTAAATAGTGTGGTTTTCATGTAAGACTATAGCCCAAGGTTCTTTGCTTTAAGTGTTCTTGAAGTTCTTTAATTAATAAATGGAAAGCAAAGTTACATTTGACTCCTCCCCTTTTCTTTGCTGATCCGAAAAATTATCCAAACCGTGACTCAAGAACCGAACTGTGAGGTTTGTGATCCGTTGCAACCCTACCTCTGACTAATGTTTGGTGTTGCCACTAAGGAACAGGTCTCGTGGAAACTCAAACTTCAAAACCATGCAACAGTGAAGGTTCAACTTTGTTCAAATGTCTTCCGAGTTGAGCGACAACCAATCACGTTTGTTTCTATTGCCTGGGGAAACAAGAGTTAGCAGCTGAGTTTTTAGCTCCAACTTAACTATGTAAAATCACTTAAAGCCAATGAGGAAGAAGCTGATCCTCTTGGTGGATGGCTTTTCCATTCATTATGATGTAACTTCAAACCTACCGGGACTTAAAAACAATGTGTGGAAAGACTTTGCCTGGCAAAATAACTACTTAGTCGTGCACCAGTGTAGTGGGGACAGAATAAAAACCCTAAATACACCTGTAAACTGCAGGTTGTAGGTGAGAACAGGGCGTTCGTATGGATATGCAAAGAAACCATTATAGTGGAAAGTTGTATCTTAGGGATAGTTGTAAGTCATAACCGTTAACGCTGCGGTGCAGAAAGAGGACAGAATTACTATGGATACATGAGATACACCGTTCTTCATAGCACCCTCCATCTCACTAATCTAGACTAGTGAAAGTTGTTTCCTGACTTAATCCAAGAGGTCAGGTGATGTTGACATGCAGACCATCTATCGAGATACGTACTGAATCATCTTGAGAGGGAAAGACACAAACTCCTAGTGCAAAGACAAGAAACAATACTTATATTCCCAAATATGGCCACAGACTTTTAAACAGTCTTCAATCTTGTACTTTCTTGCAAACGTGACATTTGGTACAAAGAATTTGAAAGAAGAAAATGCCATCTTCATTGTCAAAGCTGAACTCTTACCACAAACTTTCCCCAGAAACATTGGCAGCTGATTGATCTTCGTTTGTAGTGGAATTCTTGTGGGGGTCACCAGACACCAAAAGCTTTGCGTCCACGGCTTTGGAGCTTCTAGGTTTATGGTTTGCAAGTAAAGACTTCAAGCTCTTCTTCATGGGATGTTGCTCGTTGGCCGTCATGCCTCCATCTTTGCGAGAGTCTTTGCCAGAGATCAATTTTAGCTTCAGGCCACAGGAACCGGAGCCCTCCTCCTTCAGTCCTTTAGCAAACGGGTTGTAGTCGACTTTGAGCTGAGAGAACCTTGAGTTCTGGTAAGCAGTGACTGCCATGAACTCTGTCTGGTGGAAAGTGAATGTGACAACAGTGGGACCATTTAGCTTTATGTCTTTTGCAGCTTTGTCAGTTTGGACCACGTGCAGTCGAGGCAAATAGCGGTGCATCGGATGCAGGACGGCGTTCCCCTCTTGATCCGAGATGCTGTTTGTGAGCTTCAGTTTGTAAAAGGATACTGGATTCTGCATCCAGTGTTGACCCGTTGATGGCGACTCTGGATGAGCGAATGGTTGACTCTTTACGTGACACTCTGCCTTTTCAGCAACTTGCCAGCTCTTGCCGGTCCACTTGTATCGACTGTTGTCCAACGGCTGAATGTCCATGAGCAAAAAGTACTTCCTACATGGCTGCAAGCCGGAAATCCGAAAGCGGCAGTAAGGGAACATCCTGCTTCCCTGTTTAGTCATAATCATCTCTGTTTTGCATCTGAAAAACTCGTTCCACATGTTGTTGTTGTCCAGCGTCACTTTGATGCCTTTGCAGATGCTGTCAGGTGACAGGTTGTCTGGCTGAGGGTTTGAACTGGCGGGCTGTTTCCCACCAAGAAGTCCATCAGAAGTCCTGATGGGTTCTTTTGATGGGTACCTGTTGGGTTTACACATCATATCTGCCTCTTCTTTGGTTACATGGGTGTTTTTTTCCATCCCGCCTTCGCTCGCCTTCCCTGGTTTGGGAACAGCGAAGCATGCAGGTGGATGATCGGCAGCAGGTGCGGCTGCAGGGCTGGTTGCCCCATCCTGATGGAACACCATTCCTTTCTGCTTCTTCTTAGAAGCCATGAACAGGCTCCGGACATCTAAAGAGCAGGAGGATCCCGCTTTTTAAACATTGGTACGACAGTTCACCACAGCATCCTAAAACACACAAATGATAGATTTCATCAATTTAACATTGTGCACATCATTCAATAGGAAAAACTGAGGCAAGGCCAAGATGTCAAAGTGCTCATCCTGCTGGTCTTTTTCCTGCATTTGATGGATAACCTCAAAGTCCTTCAGCATAGATCGACAGGAGGCCATAGTCATATTATAGGGTTGTGTTATCGACATCACCTGGTTGGTATCGTGCGTTTGTCCCTCGGTTTGGTTGAATATATCAACGAAGGATTTGTATGTTCACTACACCAAAGCTACAAACTGACTCCTACGAAGCTGGAGAGAGATTCCTCATGAAGACATCGAGACCTGTGTTTAGTCGGCTTGTGTTTTCTACAAGTCAGTGAAGGCAACATGAAACAAGTGGAAGAAAGACGTCTAGAAAATGAAATTATATTTGTACACTGAAGACTTCACAAAATGACAGCATGGATATATTCTTCTATTTAGTGATGAAGGTGAACCTTTCCATCATTAGCAAACACTAAATGTTTGAGGAGCAGCTTGTCACTAAAATGAGAACCTTACTTTAGGGTGAAGACACAAGAGTCGTATCATATATTAACCGACAAACAGCCCAAACTGTACTCCCACTGCACTGCTTCTCAGCTATAATATTACCGACAACGCGCTTGCTCGGTCTCAAGACCACACACTCGCTAACGTTACGCCGCACACAGCGAATACCGATGGTACCGACACATCAGTGGGCTGAACAGAGATGATACGAGTGTTGGTGGTGATGGACTGGCAGTTAAATAAAATCATAGTTTGAACTACTACATGATAAGGTGACGTGTAGAGATAACTATGTGCTAACATGTTAGCCACTACTACATGATAGGTGACTTGTAGCACAGCTCTACTGTTGTGAGATTATTTGAAGTCAGTGTGACACCCTAGTAGACACATTTATTCAACGTGGCTTTAACAGATATTCTGCTAATTGTTGCACAAAACACATTCAGTTTTGTCTTCATTAAAATCCCACGTAGTCAAAGCAACAGCGAACGTACTAACAAGTATTGTGTTTGTATCACAGATTGTAAATATCATCACCCACTGGTTTGTGGACTTGCTTTGAAGCCTCAAGTCCAGCATTTTGGCCGTCGCCATCTTGTTGATTTGCTACCAGAAAGGGGGCGGGGCTAAGTACAACAGAACGACGAATAACTAATAACTTTGATGAAGTGAAAACACACTGAAAGGGTTAAAGTTGTGAGACGAAAACATAAACAACGGTAGAGACCTGTGTAGCCCCGCCCCTAAAGCATACCCTGCTTTATAGTCTATTTGACTCTAAATTAAATTACATTATAGTCATTTAGCAAACGCTTTTATCCAAAGCAACTTACAATAAGTGTATTCAACATAGGTATTCAAGAGAACTACTAGTCACCAGAAGTCATAAGTGCATCTCCTTTTTAAACAAGCATCTAGGAGCATAAACCAGAGCAAGAGTACAGAAACAAACTAATACGAATACAATAAGTGCTGAGTGGAAGGCTCAGGGTAGTAAATGGACCATAATTTACTAAATGAACATCATGCTGTATTGAAGAAGATTTGAAACTAGAGATTGAGACCATAAACTCATGTTTACAATGTTTACTGAGGTAATAAATCAAGAGAGAAGTAGAGTCATTTTCTCATAGACTTCTATACAACCAGAGGAGTCGCCCCCTGCTGGACACTAGAGAGAATGCAGCTTTAACACATGAATATTTGACTTCTCTTTTCTTGATGTTGTATCACAGCCTGATATCTCTTTCAAACACACTAATGAGACTCACTGTTACTGGCTGACATGTTCCTTCATAACCATCAAACACAAACACATTGTGGTTAATCAGCCTCATGCAGAAAACACCTGGTTACCTTCAACAGGTGATAACAGTGGTTACCTGCTCAGTGATGTCCATTTTAAATATTCTTCATCATTTATTGTAAGTAGCATCAGTCCAGATATCAGCTACTACAATAAGTTACCATCAATAACACGTTTAAACTCTTCTGATTCAGATTATTTGACCAACAACACGCAAACTCAACCAAACTCCACTGATAATTAGAGCTACTGTAAAGAAGGATCAACACAAACATCTGGACTGTTAAACATCTGGACTGTTAAACTGTGAATGCATCAGAGTCTGCAGCTAGCTAGCAGCATAGCATCAGGTCTGCAGCTAGCTTGCAGCTTAGCATCAGGTCTGCAGCTAGCTTGCAGCTTAGCATCAGGTCTGCAGCTAGCTAGCAGCATAGCATTAGGTCTGCAGCTAGCTAGCAGCATAGCATCAGGTCTGCAGCTAGCTAGCAGCTTAGCATCAGGTATGCAGCTAGCTAGAAGCATAGTAACATGTGTGCAGCTAGATAGCAGCATAGCATCAGGTCTGCAGCTAGCTAGCAGCATAGCATCAGTAATGGCTGCCCCCCATGTAACAGTAAACCTCCCGGTCAGGTCTCGTGCGGACCCATTACGGCCGTCTGCTCCGTTTACGGCACACAGATTACCTTCTGCGTGTCGAACATATCGAGTGTCTCGACGGTGGAACGTTCATCCGATCGTTACCGTCTGTTTTCCGTCGTAAAAGCCCCGGTCGGCATCGTGGTGGCTCTTTTCTAACTGGGGGGAGAGGGGGGGTCTTTGCTCTGAAACGTCATCGTCTTCGTCGCTACTGCGCAGACTCGGACGCCATCTTTGCTGCCGCCACCTGGGTTTAAAATATTGGCCCGGAGGATCTATGGTCCCGTTATTTACGGTGTCTTCTGTCCGGTAGATCGGTCTCTACCGGTATCTACCGTTCGTGGAATATTTAAACTAACCCGGATGTGGTGGACAGACGCCATGACAGTCTAACAGACTAGTTACCTCCAGTTTGAGTGGAAACGGGACGTTATTGAACATAAACCGGGTCAGATGGAGCTGATAACGGTTATCTAGTGATCGATCAGGTTGATCTGAAGATCAGGAGGTTTAACCGGAACACAGTCGGTAGTTTAATGGTTAACCGTGTTTGTTGGTGATTGATAGCGGAATTAAATGTGTTTTAAACCAGTTGAGCTTTAGAGCTTCGTGAGACCGGGTCACGTATTTCACTGCTCGTTTTTACCGCGATATGATATGAGTCTCCGTTAATGTAATAAACCAGGATGAGGGACAGGGTGCGTTTGAGTAATTTTAGTGTGAAACACTAGCCCTCACAGGAGAGACCCTGAACACACCACCTCCTCTAACGGACAAAGAGCCGCCGCCATGTTGTTTAACGGATCTCCTGTTATTGGACGGTTAGTACAGTGACGTCATCTAATTACCGTTAGCTCGTTACGGACGTTATTACGTCGTAAAACTGATTTACGGCTGAGTGTAACGCCATGAATGTAGTAGCGTGTATGTGATCGATGACGTGTAACTGTTACTAATGACGTTTAAAACCTCCACTATTGTTTAAATGTAACGTTAGGCTGCGCATGCATGTCTGTGCGGCAATGGCGCGTGGAATACGGCGAATTCGCAATGGGGGGAGGACTGATGGAATTTGTTGTGTGAAGACGAAGGTAAACAAACAGTCTGAAGCGTTGCTAGCTTAGCTCCTGAGCTGTTACCGATCACAACATTAAGGGTTCATTCACATTAATAAAACCATCTCCTCCAGACTAACACACCTGTAAACAAACATCACGTGACTCTTCACGTACTGAGCATGATGGTGACGTGTAAACAGGAAGTAGATTGTTTGCTGAGTTAAAGTAGTCTTTAATAATGAACGGTCGTGTTTCGACGTGTGTGAGAGTGTCTCTGTGTGACTGTATCTCTCTGTGTGTGACTGTGTATCTCTGTGTGTGTGACTGTGTGTGTGTGAGAGTGTCTCTGTGTGTGAGTGTCTCTGTAACTATGTATCTCTGTGTGTGTGTATGTGTGTGAGAGCGTCTTAGTGTGTGTCTGTGTATCTCTGGGTGTGTGTGAGAGTGTCTGTGTGTGAGAGTGTCTCTGTGTGACTATCTGTGTGACTGTATCTCTGTGTATGTGTGAGAGTCTGTGTGAGTGTCTCTGTGTGTGTCTGTGTGTGACAGTGTATCTGTGTATGTGTGAGAGTGTCTCTGTGTGACTGTGTCTCTGTGTATGTGTG